CTGGTGTTCGATGTCATTTATGGCTGGGGGCTACTTAACGAAGCTGTGGCAGAAAGGGATGCACACATCTGTGCACCCATTTTGCCACAATCTTCGCTTTTCTGGTTTACCCTTCCCAACCCCTCCCTGCCCATCCCTCCTTCACCAGGCCGTCCGCTGTCAAGCGGACGCCTGTTCCTGGCTTGTACGCGTGCCAGGACGTCGGCGAGAGGCGAACGACCCAATCGTTCGCCCTTGTCGACGTTGTTTCTCACCTTTTGTCGCCCTCCATCCCACCTCTCCCCTCACAAGCCCATCCCGGCCCCGGATCGCCCCGAAACAACCCGGGATCAACATCCCCCGTCCCCTCAACCCTTCGAGAAGCGTGTCCGGCCGCCGCACCCTGTCCCGACCGCTGGTGCCGCCGCCGTCGCCGCTGTCACCCTCCCCGACGGACCCCCTCGCGGCGACATCAAATCGTGCCGCGCCGCTTGAGATATGGGTGTTTCGGGATCGCGGGAGGAGTAGTAACACGACGCTGTATGCGCCTTTGCCATCAGGTAAGTATTAAATATTCTATCCAATTGTTTCTATCCTCCTCCCCCCTTCCACCAACCTCCCTCTCGCCGGCCCCGGAGAGCGCGCAAACTCGCGCGTTTTGACGGGGCCGCGTTCTTACTACCCACATCCATGCTCTCCGGCCACCGTTCGCTTCCGCGACCGCTGCCGGCGCCGCGAACCGTCCGTCACCGCCGCCGACGTCATGCATCACGCCGACATCAAAACACATCGCCCCGCATAGACGCGGGGTAGTTCTGGCTCGCGCACCTCGTAGGAATGTGGGACTGTAATTATCTCAGTGCTCAGTACTTATTTCTTTATCTTTTATTTTGTCTTGACTGGGTCACACCCTCCCGAAGCTCTGGCGCGGCCTCAGATTGAGATTAATATACAATGTCCAAGGCCTCCATAGATTACTTTGTAATGTAGCATACATTGCATTATATTATATACACCAGTGCAATAGCCACAACAAACAAAAAATAAGTAGCCAGTACTGTTAGCTGAACTAGAGCCCGAGACAGTATATAATGCATAAACGCGCCTGCCTAATAACCGTACATGGTGTAACGGTCAGTGAGCCCGGGATTCTGGGTATAGAGGCAACGTCGCTAGTTCGATCCGCGCCAGTGCTGTCGAGGCTACGGGCCTTTAAGGCTACCCTGATCCTCCCACCCTCTCCTACTCATCTCCTTCTACTCTCATTCCTCCTTTCTTTATTTTTCTCTCTATACTTAATACATTCTAATGTCTTTTATTGCATTCGGAGGGCATGTAAAGCCCTACAGTACTATTTTACTTGCTGTAATTAGTGCTCTACAGCCTGAGCGAGGCAGCTCGGGAACAGCCGAACGCGCGCGAGACGCTAAGTCCGTGTCTCGCTCCCTACACGCTCTCGACATACTCGACGCCGGCGCAGTCGCTTCCTCAAAACAGGGATGGACTTCGAGTGTGGTGGATGTAACTGGTGGAGGGTCTGTGAGCTGAGGACAAGTGCAATAGGTACATTATTCTACTTATTTTCGATGTTTTATCATTTGATGCTTGGGCTGGCATGTCCGCCTCGCGTTTGTTCGCGAGCAGGTCATGCTGGCTCGGTGATGTTTCATTACAGGTGGATGACCTTCTGAGAGGTCTCCCCTCGTTTTTGGGACCAATCCACGCCGTCGCGCCCGCTCAAGACCCGCCGCTCTCACTGCCGCCCGACTGCCCCCCCCTCCCGACGTCGGAACGCAGAATGCCGCCGCGTTCTGCGTTTCGACGTTGTTTCCGACTCTCGCCGACTTCACGAAGCGAACGATACCAGCGCCGCGCAAATCGGCGGCGCGGTTATCTTTATATTCAGGTTTTTCCATTTTTTGCCCCCTCCCCCCTCCCCCTTCCTCCCGGCTTCCCCGGCCTCTCATCTTCGGATGGGAGGCGATTTCCTGACTCCCTATGGAGTCAGGACGACGACGAGACATGCGCTATAGCCGCGCGTTGTCTCGTCGTCGAGTTCTTCTCAATCCTACCGGGGCTCAGCCCCCCCTCCATACAACCCCGTTTCGCGACGGACCCGAAGGCGCCAGGTAGGCATCTTTGGGTTAGAACGCACCTCCTCGTGCTACACTAGCGCGAGGAGGTGCGCTCCGAGCTGTGGGATGCCCGTTGACGCCGTTGACGACGTCGTACCCGCGCGCGCGTCGCCCGACGTCGAACAACAGAACGCACTCGCGTTCTGTTGTTCGAGGTCATTTATGGTTGGGGACTGCTAATTGAAGCTGTGGCAGAAAAGGGTGCACACATCTGTGCACCCGTTCTGCTAGGGTTTATGAGGACGAAACATCTGCTCCAGGGTTGCTCTAGGGTTGAAAGGTAGGGACATCCCCAGGGACAGACCATCCCTAGGGAGCTGTCCCTACGGCTGAGGGATGCCACCCTCATGTCATAGGAACAGTTCTCTAAGAGGCCCATGGGAGATAGAGCTTGTGGACTGCAGAGGCACTGCAGCTCCCAGCAGCAGCTCGCGGACTGAGTCTGCGAGCACTGCAGGTAGCTGCCCTGTCAGCCTCGCGGACTGAGTCTGCGAGCCCTGCAGGTAGCTGCCCTGTCGGCCTCGCGGACTGAGTCTGCGAGCCCTGCAGGTAGCTGTCCTGTCAGCCTCGCAGACTGAGTCTGCGAACGCTGCAGGTAGCTGCCCTGCCAGCCTCGCGGACTGAGTCTGCGAGCCCTGCAGGTAGCTGTCCTGTCAGCCTCGCAG